CCCCCCCCCCCCCCCCCCGGTATCGCTATCACACTCCAGCACACCTTGTATATCATTTCTTAGTCTGCTACAGAAACTCCACTATTTCTTATCTCGATCGAATCCTCACAATCCGGGAGTGGTTTTACGCTCAATTGCTCAGCAACGTTCGAAACAAACAGGACTTTCGATTTTGAAACATTGAATTTGGTGTCGTTCTTAAGAAGCCATTGAGTGCTAACGAGCAAGATTTTGCAATTGTCTTCAAATAGTATTGTTTTCTTAGACCTTTAGTGAATATGAGGAAGAGAGTTGGGGACCGAGTACAGATCTTTGTGGGACCTCGTCAGCTGCGTTGGTGGAATCGGATACCCGGGTCAATACAACCTCCACCCTTGTGTTTCAAAAATTGTGTTAGTGCTGCGTGATCGAGTATCCGTTGGAACAGAACATAAACAGTGGTTTGAACATAGGATCCGCCAGGAAGACAAAGCGTTGCGGATGTATGTTTTCCGCGCCCGAGGAGAAATATTTTCGGAGTCAATAGCTGTTCTGTTGCATTTTCGGCCATAAATGTTCTGGGGGTCAGTGAAAAGTGTGAAAGATGCTTCAACCCAAATTCAAAGTTTGATTGTGGGGACTAATTGCAAGCGGTTGCTTTTCCTGTCCCATAGAGTTTTTCGCACAACTGATTCGATTGACGGATCATAGAAAGATGCGGAATGTAAAAGGGTTCAGTGTTTCGTGTACTGCTACGGATGTGGAAATTAAAGATGTGACAGTGTTTCATCCGGAAACAACTTGCGGTGGTATAGACTTCCAAGTTCTACACACTATGACGACAAATAAATGACGTCAGCATTCTCGTCGACAATTTTTGAGCGCCGATTTGAATGAGTGCACTCTGAAGTGGTGACTGTTGGGCGATATCGCCATCTGCCACTCGGATGTACGGGCATTAGTATTAATGATCCCTTCTGGCGGAAGTCTTTTATCCGTTCGTAAAGAAAAATTTTCTCTTGTAAATGCCTCTGACTATGGTTTGTATATACTAACCACCATGCGTTCGTCGTGCGCTATCTGCTCACGTTGTCAAAGGAACACTACAGATTTTTCCACTCATACCACAATTTCCATTGTTGTTCGATAACACTTGCTATTTAACGTGTGCACGTCCTGAACTCGTATTTCTGTGTGACGCAAGTCTCATCATGTTTTTCTGCCCGCGTTCGGTTTCTTTTCAGGACACGCATCGTCATCGCAGTGGACGGACACTACGATCCCACACAGCGGCACAACGCGAGCGAGAAGAGAAAGAACGACACAGTGAGTTTGCTTACCCGCCCCCCCGCCCGTCATTTGGTTGGTTGCCGCGGTTCGATGGTTGTGAATCTAACTCTCACTGGTTTCGTCGCTTCACTTTACAATTGTTTTATTTATTTGAGGACCGGGTGGATAATTTTAATTTCTTCCCATTAGAAACAATCATACTGATCGTTTCAGTTTCAGCGTTTTCCGTTCCCTTGATAGATCATCCGAGAACCGACGCAGGCCAGATATGTGGTAGCACTCTGCTCGGCATCGAATTCGCTTCGATTCCGTGGCTGACAATTGCGGTTTCCGTGGCTTTACTAGCATTTTTTCCATGGGTGTCGTTTCGCTGAATTTATCGGTACATGGTGTGCATCGCTTGAACCAATCAGTATGATGATGATGATAAGCTCGTTTGCAACTACTCACGAATTCGACCGGGATTCGTTCCACACTACTCTCTTCCAGACCACGGGATCCTATCAATCAATCCATGAAGGAAACTGAATGATAGGTATCAACTGGATGACTCAATCTGTACACGGGAGGGGGGGGCTGAGATATAATTTCCCACCGGATATGCTCAAGTGCACTTTCGGATGAGTATCTGCTCTCAAATAACAAAAAGAGGGCAAATAGTTTAGTCTCACATGAGCCATGATCGAGCAATATCTGTGATCTTTAATGGTTGCCCATTCGCGATGAATCCTTCCTCACCTTGATCAAGTTGAAAGGCCTTCTGGCCGTTGGGTATACTCCATTTGTTTCTGTCTTAAACCCCTTAATAGTTGTTACGTTTGATTGTTGTTTTTTCGCAACTGGTAAACTAATCAATTCAATCATTGTGGTTTATTAATCATACATGGATACGTGTTCCTGCCTTTTTCTATATGCGTTTTCGATATAGTCATCACGTCTGTTTTGTGATAGTTCTGGGATTCGGTAAATTGTGTCCATCCGCTTCTGTATGAAACAAATCAAACAGTTCAAATGTCCGATTGCTTTCTGATCGAGTTCTCATCAAATTATGGGAACACGTTATTTTAGTTGCGTAAACTCAGACATCCGTGTGATCTTTTACTTCTCAAATCTTCAGATGATACAACTCCGATCAAAAAGCGCAAGCTTCGTTCCCGAACCGATGGTCACCCGGAAACTTGCAGCAATCGTACGGAATCTAATGCTTCTTGGACTCCGTCATCGGGCAACACCTATAGCACAACCGGTACGACTGCCCGATCACACGGTACAGACGATCCAGCTTCGCATGACTCGGGTGATGTGATACACGCCATGGCAGGACAAGACTCTTCCACGGCTATTGTGAAGGAAGATGGTTCTGTATGCAGCGAAGTGCGTGCTCCCAAATCAGATGCACTGAAAGATGAAGTGGACGAGGAAATGGATGACGTAACTCAAACAACGGGTGCCGGCACACCGGATCCCGATCGAAAAATCAAGGTCGAATCTGAACCGGAGCAGAAAATCGATAACTCTGATTCACCTACTGTTACCACCGCTGGCAAATCGTCCTGTGCGACCACATCCGGTGCTCCCGGGTCTACAGCGAGTTGTTCTGTGAAAAGTGAATCACCAGATGCGGTTGGGGAGGGGATTAGTTACCTGCGCTGTCCTGCCGGTCCGGACGATAGCAAGCAACATCCGGAATTGTTGATGTTCGAAAATCCGTTTGAGAAAAGTGCAGCCATACAGCGAAAGGTTAGATCCTTTGCCTCCTTGTTCTCATATTACTGCCCCCCCCCGTTACAAGTTGTGCTTTATCGTTTGGCACTCTCTTCTTTTTTTCCTATCTCCGCGCTGTCTGTCTATCTAGTACAGTACAGTCAGTCTCACCACTCACTCGCTCCGTCTTGACTCGGGGGGTCAAATGCGAATGGAACCTACTCAAAATCGTGTTCACGAACCATGGTAGTTACGAACCGAGAATTCCCAATACTGAACGGTTTGGGTGTTTGTTCATCAGAATATGTTAGTTTCTGTAGGTTCTATCTCTTTTTCTAGCTAACATAGTTGCAACTTCGAACATGATGGTGCTTCCAGTATCTTGTGATAATCATTTCCGTTTACGTGTTGTTCTGTGAATTTCTTTAACTCTAGTTGTATTTTATTTGTATTTCACACACACACACACACACATCTGAGGCCAGACTGTGTTCCAATCAAATCACGGTACAATCATGTTTATGGAAAGGTTGACTTGTTTGTGGGCGGAATACTTCCAGATTGTCCAGATCAAGGCAGGTGAATTTTCTTGGGCCATTCAAAACCGGAGCCCTTGGCTAGCCAAAGCCTAACCTGCAAGGCAGCGGGTCGGTGTGTGAAAACCGCAATCCATTGGGAGCCGTTGTCCAGTTTATCGGATCGTACGCCCTTCGGACAGGGTCAAACGTCCAAAGTGCTCAATCGAGCCGGTCAAAACCAGCGTCGTGTGCGTGGTTCGTACGCCTCTTCTTGATTGGTTCTGAATCATAGATTTTAACCAACTCACCAACCCGGATATTGACTTTTCGGCTTCTCACTGTGGTGGGAAAACACCTCTGCCACGAGAAGCAGTGATTGGAGCTTCCTCAGCTGAAGCTATTTGGGACCCTTGGTCGTCTAGTATTATTTCACGTGGTGTAAGGCGTGACCAGCCACAACCCTAGACACCCCATCCCCCCACCGTACTCAGGTTCTCGGAAGCCTATCTCGGATTCCATCTTCATTGTATGCTATATCATCCGAATCTGTCGTGTTAGATCATCTAGTGATCTGTTGTTTGTGGTCCATTTTGTGACTGTTCCTTGTCAACGGCCACTTCACTCGGTCCTATTCAGTTAGCGGAGCCGGTTCGATTAGAAGTCAACAACACAATTGTCCCCGAGATCAGCTAGGCGTTGCATGTATGTGGGTCAATTTACCGACTGGAAGTCCTTATCCATAAACATTTTGGGTCGAGCGAGATAGAGGAGACCCCGATAATTGTCATGTGGCCGGTTTACTGCCCGACGCGTAGAATCGGCCTTCAAACGTCTGTGAGTCGTGCCTAAAACACACGAGAACGCGCGCTCTCGCGCATACACAATCGCACATACCAATCCCTTCCACGATCCAACACTGGTTCACGATTGATCCGGTGTGTGCATGCATGCGCTGACAGTCGTACAAATTTCACCGTGTCTGGTTGACACGTGACACCCCGTGCAAGTGACCGAATATCAATCGGTGTGCCTTGACGGTATCTCGCACTGTGTTCCACTATTCACTGACCGTCATATCGCACACAACAGAAGAATAAAACAAGATTGTTTGGTTGAAATTAAACCGATGACATACTAGTACTAAGAGTCGAGCAATGATTCGTTTCGGTTCTCTCTAACAGTTTTTTCTCAGAACACAGATCAGGTATGGGTTTGAAAAGCTGTCACAGGAGTTGTTGTGCGATCGCAGATGATGCGTGTACGGTGAAAGAAATTAGAATACCCACTCCACCAGAACAATTCATGCACAAATCTATTTGGCCGAGCGGAACTATACGCAACTCTGAAAGTAGATTAAAGGTGAATCGGGCGGTTTAATTTTGGTGAATCGTATGCATAGAACCAGTTCCGTTCAGTTCAGTTTGAACAACCATTAACCATGCACTTTCGTGCGCCGGTTTTGGTTGCTGTCTTTTGGCTGCCCATTTGGATGAATAATAGAAGAAGAACAGGAAAGTTGAAGAGAAAATTGAGAACTCCAGTAAACTATGGCTGCAAAGAAATTGAGAAGAACGCTACTATTTACGACACCCAGCCATATCATTCAGTGTGTCTAACCATTGCGTACGATCTTCTCGAGGTCCCCAGCCGGGAAGCATAACGGGACCTATGTGACCCAGTCCCCGGGGTTTTCATACCCTCGTGCCAGGTCTTAGCTTAGCCACCCTTGACTTTCTTCCACTCACTACTTGCCTCGGCGAACATCGTTCGCCGTGGCAACCTATCTGGTGATTTGCGTAACACATGCCGTAACCAACGTAATTTATAGAAGTCGACCACTTGCTCCAGTGCGCGACCGCGGTTGCCTAAAACTCTGAGCCTAACCTCAGCATTGCTCGTCCGACTGCCCCACGAGATTCGCACAATGCTGTGTAGACAGCGATGTTCAACCACCGAGAGTCTATCTGTGTCCTGTTTTCCTAATGGCCAAGTTTCTGCTCCATATTGCAGAACTGGCCGAACTGCTGCGGCATACACTCGACCCTTTACAGAAAACCGGATGTTGCGACGGCGCCACAGATGTCTGAAGTTGGCAAATGCCAACCGAGCCTTCATCCGTGATGCGTCCACCGTGTGTGCCTAAATAACAAAACTTATCCACTTGCTCTATTACTTCTCCAGTTAGACCGAGGCTGGATGCTGATGCAGTGTTGTAGTAGCATTTCACACTATGAAGGTGCAAAACTCATACCGAACATGGCTACACTAGCACTCAAACTATCCAGAAAAGCTTGTAAATTACTTAGTAGCTCAATGTCGTCTGCATACTCTAGATCAGAGTCTGTCACCTTGGAGTAAATCAATGCCACTTCCCTCGCACGAGGATAGGGCTGTTTCCATAATCAGATCTTTAACAAAGTTAATTAGAAAAGGCGAGAGAGGCCGAACCCTGACGAACACCACTTGCTGTAGTGAACCCCGGCCAAAAAGTGCCGTAAGCCCGGACTCGACTTTGGCTATTAGTATAAAGCGAGCGTAATATTGAAATTAACTTCTCGGGCCCACCTTTCAGGAAAAGGCAGCGCCAGAGTTTATAGAAGTCGACTGAGTCGAAAGCCGCTTTCAGATCTTGGAAAACAGAGTTAGTGCATCTACGAAAATAATGCCGGTGCTCCAGAATTTGGTGCAGAGTGTAGATGTAGTCGATACAACCTCGACCGGGTCTAAAACCAGTCTGGTTCTCACGCGTGTACCGTTCACGTGCGGCAGACAATCGGCGGAGTATGATGCCACCGAGAAGTTTAGAAACGATGTTGATTAAACTAATTTCTCTATGGTTTCCACAAGAGGATCTATCACCTTTCTTGTGAATCGGTATGATCGCCTATTCACACCATTCAGGTGGAACTTCTTTCCTTTCCCATATTGAGCCCAGGAGTTTTGTCAACTCCAAGACTAACGCTGAGCCTCCAGCGTTAAACGCTGATGATTAACTAGGAGTATTTGTCCAGTCGAGGCGGAGAGTGAAAGATCAGATGTCGATGGAGGCCAGTTGAACTGTTCCTTGAAGTGTTCAGGCTATCGATCAAGACAGCGTTGCTGATCATGTAACATCATCATGCAGAGAACCGTCATATTCACCTTCCCCGGATATCTCTAATGGTAGCCGAATCTCTAGATGACAGATCGAAGGCTGTAACAAAGGATATTTCAGTGTCTGTAGAGGACTCCGTTGCTAGTTTCATCATACTTGATGAGAACCGAAAGCAGTGGCTTTCATGTTGTCAGTTATTGTCCGACCACGATGCTCGAAAAATTGCATATGCCCCGGTAAACTGTCCTTTCGCTGTAAACTGCCTTGGTTTCTAAAGTCCCCACATTCCTACACCCGGTTGATATCAATAGTTGTGGCCGAGAACCGTGTGTGACATAAGCGTGGGTTTGTGCGACCATCTTCGGTTTTAATAACCATCGGGTTGTAACACCTGTTGCCAACGCTGATATGTAGCCAACCCACACCTGACAATTCCTCGCGCAGCTGCAATTTAACTCAACTCTTGACAGCGCAACAATTCCGGCTATGAAGGGGCGTAAAACTACCTTTGACATGCT